TAAGGCTTCAAGAACACCAGAAAGCTGTAACGAGGGGAAATAGAAAAATCAGGCGTGGCTGACCACGTATGGAGAGAAGGGAGATCACCGCCCCTGTGGGATCATGTTGAAATCATAGATAGGGAACACCATTGGAAAATTCGTAAACTTAAGGAATCAGCACATATGCTAGGCCACAAAAAAAAAATGAGCCGACCAAGCATAGAAATAAATACAATATGGGAACCAGTAATAAGGAGTGCCAGAGAAAAGCAATGATAACAAAGTTGCAATATGAACTCTGGTAAAGACATGCAATGATAACAACAACAAAATTGCAATATGAGCACTGGTAAAAAATGATGCTGAAAACATTAGGTTTATAATACTCAGAAGTTCATAACTAGATGTCCTCAAGGGCACATGGCACAGTGGATAAAGGCGTTGGTCAGATCCAGTGATAGACCCAAGAGAAGGTGAGTTCAATTCCTGGTTAAGGCAGTGGAGAACTTTCAGAGGAAAAATTAGCAGGAGATAACTGATAACTGACATCCATCAAACATGGCACGTGGAACTAGAACAGTCTACCCCAGTGATCAAAATAAAGGGTTCAGTTCGAAATTCCTACCACCTGAAGAAGGCCGGAGCGTACAACGGCCGAAACGTTGTGACAAATATGGCGACAAAGATGAGGACAATAGTCCGACTAATGTAAATACTATGCTTAATTTTTTTTTTTTTTACACCTATTCTCATTGTACATTTCTCTGTTTTAATATTGAATCTCCCGTGGAAGCCTGACGAAACCGGTTGCTCCCCCCCCTTGTTGTTGAGTTGTTTTTTTTTTGTTTTTTTTATTATTTAATATTGTTTTAATATGTCTTGTAATATTATTTTTTTATACTTTTATTTCGATCATTAAATTTTGTACCTACAAAAATATCTTTAAATATATATATATATATATATATATATATATATATATATATATATATATATATATATATATATATATATATAAAACTAGCTCCGATTTAATTTTGTAATTAAATTAAAGACATTGGTTTTTCATCCTCAAGCGAATTTTGGAGACTTTTAGCTTCCATTTTTTTTTGAAACATAGTTAGAAATGTGTAGCGAAAAAAAACATATTTTAAATCAATTAATTTATAATATTAATGCTCTGTAAATTTACATTGAGCACTATTTTGTAAAAATATCTATAAGAACACCGGATTATATATCTTACTGTTCTTTCTCTTTATATATATATATATATATATATATATATATATATATTTGAGCAGACAAGGTTAAAAACTAAGATTAGCTTCAAAATCACAGCATTGAAATTTAACTCCGTTGATCAGTGAAAGCCTTATGGTACAGCCTTATAAAATTTATAATTTACTGAAACTTTACACTTTGTATATGTACAAGATGCAAGTACATTATTACTAAATCATTGTGACATCAAATACAACCTTCATTTATTTCAAAGTTAAATTATACTGAACAGTTTAGCTATATGTAATAGGTTAGTGTGATTTTCAATAAACAATGCAAATTTAAAACATTTTGTTTTATAATTTATTCCCAGCAATATTATGGTGTTATATACACATTTATCTATTTTTGTTTTTTGTTAATTCTGATCTAAAAAGTGTCTGAAAATTCTTATTCATTAACTAGCCTTTTTATAATCTTTTACAATTTCGAACTTTTTTTTTTTTTAAGCATTTCCCCCCAAGCAAGGCGGGAAGCCACTAGCATGCAAGGGGTTACAGAGAATTTGGAGCGAGAGCAGATAGGAGTGATAGAGGAAAGGATGAGGAGAAGGATAGGGGGATAGATCAAGGTAACTGGAGAGAGCGACTGTAGATGAGATGCCAGATCAGGGCCAATTATATTGCATATCCGTCTCTGGATCTTATCAAGAACCCCGAGGCAAACAGAATGGGCTCCAGACCATATATGGCAGCAATACTCCATGCAAGAGCGAATGGCTGATTTGTAGATTTGAAGGATCGATTCCGGGGAGAAAAATTTCCTGGCGCAACACACGGAGACAACTTTTCTTGTGGTGGACGAAGCAATTGACTCAATGTATTTGTTCCATCTTAGGTCAGCAGACAATATGAGACCGAACAGCCGCAGAGAGGTGCTCTCGAGAAGTTGAGCGTCAGACATTCTAATGGCGGGGAGTGACAGGGAAGGACCTCTGCGGTGATTAATAGAGAGCAGTTTTGTTTTAGAGGCGTTAAAGTTAACCAGTCAATTCCTGCCCCAGTTCACAATCGATTGGAGGTCCTTTTCGAGACGAATGGCCAGGTTAGTTTTGTCAGCGACATTAGATTTGTTTTTGAGACAAGAGTAAATTGTAGTGTCGTCCGCGTAGATGCCTACTTGGGAATCTATGACGTCAGGAAGATCGTTGATGAAGATATGAAACAGAGTAGGGCCTAGGATAGAACCTTGGGGAACACCTGCGTTCGTGAGATAGGAGCTGGAGGAGAATCCGTTGAGAACGACCTTCAATTCACGGTTTGACAAGAATGATTGTATCATGTCAAACAATCGACCTGTAATACCATAACCCTGGAGCTTGCGAAGAAGGCCGGCATGCCAAACCCTATCAAACGCTTTGGAGATTTCTAGAGCCACGGTACGAGCTTCTCCGTTTTTTTTTTTTTGAAGAGCTTGGTAGACAATTTCGGTAATGGCCGTAAGCACATCAGCTGTAGATCGGGTAAAACGGAAACCATACTTAATACATTAAAAACTGCATGATTAGAATTCTGGTTTGAATATATTTTCCATTCAATGTATCTAATACAAAAGATATTGTCTTTATTTGGATTTATTCTTGAAATAGTAAAATTTGAAGTCACTTTGTAAAGAAAAAACCGGAAGAAATTAGGTATTAGGTTGGTGCAAAAATAATGATGTAAGAATGTCGTTTTTTGACGTTAAAAATACGTCAAAAAACGACATTATTCTGCCGTCATTTTTTGCACCAACCTAATATTTCTGTACAGTTTTTCAGATTGTCTTTAAAACTAAATGCTCAAAAATTGGTGAGAGCTAAGAATCTAATTTTTGGTGTCAGTACTTATCACATCAAACCACAGCTTTATCATTAACTTCAACTCTTAAAAAAGAGAAAAATCAACCTGTTCTAATATCGAACCTTTCATTTCATGTAGGAAACAAATCATTTCCCTTTAATCCATAATTCTCTCAAAAGGTATATAAGTGTTCTACATATTTAGTTTTAACTGCTCCATATGGTTATTCGTTAGAATGATATGTTTTCTATTACATTTGGTTATCAAAAGATGAAAATTCCTTACATCTTTCTTTTTATGTGCCATGTCCTTTCAAGACGTAGGCGATTATGGCTCTCCACCTTTCTCTATCTCTTGCAGCTTTCAGCAAGTTCCTTCCCTCTACTTACTCCCCCAGATCACGTTCTGTTATCCACCTGCCGAAGTCCGCCCGGTATGTCACGCGCTTCTTTTCCTTGTCTCTCTTTCCCTCTATTCGACCCATGAGTATCAGATTTTCCAGGCACTGCTTCCTCAATCTGTGCCCCCAAAACTTTAGCTGCCTCTTTCTGATTTTAAGTATAAGCCTCATCCTTGTTTGCATCCTCTCTAAGACCGCATCGTTGCTCACATGCTCGGTCCATGATATCCTAGTACCCTTCTGTAGAACCATATCTCCGCTGCCTCGAGTGTGTTCTTCATCTTTGAGTAAATCATCCAACATTCGCTGCCGTAAAGAATGATAGATGTCACGTAACAGTTCAGTATTCTTTTTCTTTGTTACCAAAGAAATCCTCTTGTCTCACAATACTCTGCCCAGCTTTTGGAATGCGTTCTTGGCCACCCCAATACGTCTACGGATCTTAGTGACTCATTTACCGTTCTCTGTCAAACTCTTCCCAGACATTTAAACTTCCGCGTCTACTTGATTCTAGTGTTCCCGACCTTCAAATTGCATTTCGAGCTCATCCTTTTACTGATGACCATGCATTCTGTCTTCTTGTAGTTTATGCTTAGTCCTTTCTTCTCACTCTTCGTCGCGACCTTCTGTAGATTTTGTAATTTCTCTTCCGTGTCTGCTATCATTACTGTGTCGTCTGCCTATCTTGTGTTGTTAAGGTGGCCGCTAAAACTAAATCGCGGTAGTGTTCCCAATTCTCTCAGAATTGCCTCGCTGTATAGGTTGAACAGGTCGGGTAAGAAGACGCATCCTTGCTTTACGCTCCTATTTTCGTATAATTACTGAACTCCTTCCGTATGTTTGCTACCAGTTCGCCAAAATTAAATGTAATTTTTTGTACAAAATCACCACAAATACAGAAGTCCTTAACAGTATCAGAGACTTCAACATTGGATTCTTGCTGCCTTAGGCTGATCATCTATTGAGGTTTGAAAAACCATCGACTTCCAAAAACACGTCTCCCGGCCTCTTCACATATACGGGTAAACGCAGTTTCATCTCACACATGTTTACTTTTCTCTCCCCCCTCCATCTCTCCTATGTCATTCCTTTCTCTATTTTTTTCTCTTTCCATCCCTCTCTTCTGGTTCTATCTTTTTTTTCTTTCTATCTCTCTCCCTTCCTCTATTTTTCACTTTCTCTTCCGTACTCTATCCACTTTTTAAATGTTTATCTCCTCATTTCCCCCCTCTCTCTCTCTCTCTCTCTCTCGCTCTGTTTTTTTTAAAATTTTCTCCCTCTAGTTGCCTTAGTTTCTCACCTCACTTTTCTCTCTTCTCACCTCTCCCCACATCATTTCTCTCTTCTTTTCACGCCCACTTCCATTTCTCTCCCTACGTCGTTTCTCGCCTTCTCCCTTTTCCATTTCTCCTTCTCTCTTCTCATTTTCTCACTCTTACTCCCCGTCTTAACTTCTCTTTACTTTTCTAACTCCCTCCGTCTCTTCTTGCTCTACTTTTCTCTCTCTCTCTCTCTCTCTCTCTCTCTCTCTCTCCTTTTCTTTATGGCATTACGTTGACACACCAATTCCTGTATGATCACCGAAGTTAAGCAACGTCGAACCTGGTTAGTACATAGATGAGTCATCACTTGGGAATACCAGGTGCTGTAAGTTTGGATGTGCGGGTGGCGTAATGGATAATGGCTCAGAATTTTTAATCGGACAGATGAGTTCCAATTCCAGTTGGGTTCGCTATATTCATTTACACGCAGATAAACCGTAGGAAAGGCCTGAAACCACCTCTTCGTAAGACCTCTATCACTAAATCATTTTTCTCCAAAAAATAATTCTTACAATATAAAAATATTTTATGGCGTTAAATAACTTGCAAGGGGTTGATAAACCGTAAAAATGAATCAATCAAACTTTTATTTCTCTTTGCTTTTCTTTCTCTTCCCCTCTCTTTTTCTATCAATGTTTCTCACTTCCGTTTGCGTATCTCAAGACGCATCCATATCGATAAATATAACTACTTACAAAGTGTGATGGTATAGCGTCAGAATGGAACTAAGAGCAGCAAAAGACAGGAGGTTGTGGAGAACCATGATTGCTCACGTCAGGAAAGGAAATGACTAAAAGATGATGCATTTATTTGTTCATATTCATTTTTCTGGTCAATTATTCATTTTGTTCTGTAAGGAGAATCGAGCAACTCTTTTGTTCATATTTCATATCTGTCGATCTTCTCTATCCCGCTTTCTTTCTCACCTTTTTTTTAAAACTCTTTCTTTCTTTCTTTCTTTCTTTCTTTCTTTCTTTCTTTCTTTCTTTCTAACACAGCCACCCACACACATTCTGGTGTCTCCATTTGGATTAGAATACCAGATCATACTTTATGTCTCGATTTCGTCGTGTCATAATGAAAGGTCTTTTCGTTCGCCAAATGGAATGCTGCTAAGTAAACTAGATCACTAAAAAATGCACTTGTTAAGTTTTTCCTAACTTAGTTCCAAAGTGATAAATGTTAACTTATTGATCTGCTAAAAGTGTTTTTCAGATCAACTGAGTGCATTTGTCGAAAGGTCACGTGACTCGTTAATCGTTACTTTTCCTGTTGATTACTTGTACACTTAAGTAGAGAAAATACTTTGTGAATCCAAATAACATAAAACGGTTCGTCTAGAAAAATATTGGAAAGGCAGCAGATGGTTGAATTTTGCATATCTATGAGCAAGCCTGTTTACCTTTAAAAGCTTTATTTAGTAGTAGAGGCGTCTAAAATGGCCTCTTAAATGAGACTATATGTACAAATTGGTGCAATAATATACACTTAAACGATTCACAAGGATAAAAAGAAAATGGATGTTTCGAGTAACGGGGAACGTGAGAAACAGAACAAGTTCTTAGATGCGGCAAAAGAATTGCGGAATTAGTACCGTTAGAAGCCCTCCTGGCTTAAAAGAAATTAGGGTAGAAGATGTGATACTGACATCAATCATTGGATAACGGATAGGCCTACTAGGAGGGACGACGATAGTAAGTTCTGGAATTTCCTTCCATATATCTAATGGAATACGTGTGCTGACATGAGAATCGTAAGGCTCTTTGACGATGTTCCCAAATTTTTATTGAAAACATCATTTAACAATTTATAATTTCTTAGTAGATATTTTATTTGGTTTTAAGTGACATTGGCAAACACACGTTATTACTTAGCGTTATGTGAGGACCGTTATTTATTAAGCGTATCTTAGATGTGGCACAAGTCCAAAGTTACGGTGCACCCGGTGAAAATCGAACTCACTACTCAATTGATCTTGCGAAAGAATCTTGCTAAACATTTAACCATCATGGTTTTCTAGGCATAGTTTAGATGTTGCCGAAAGTGAGAAGTAACCAGTGCGAATCAAACTCAGTACTCACTCGTAATTGATCTAGCGAGACAAGCTTGCTTACCATTACGCCACGTCGAAGTGCCCAAATTGTATCTGATGATAATATGACACTCTTTTGTCTTCTTATTTCCATTAATTATGGAAAAACGTTGCTTTTTTTTACATGTCACTAAAGAGACATTTTTTCATTTGGGCTTATAAGTAAACTTATAAGTAAACTTTAAAATAAGCAGGAGTTAAACAAAAATAAAACATTACTTTTAAAATACGAAATTGGGAATAAAAACCTGTTTGAATATGAAAAAAAAAAACAATACCTCTTTGGGCTTCATTTATATATTTCGTCAAAATATATTTCTCCACATTATCGATAACATAATCCAATCTATTTGATAAATTGCTAATTTTTCAGCTTTCGATGTAAAGAAACATTGAATTAGGTTATTATTAATAACAACATTGAAGCAAATAGATTCACTTAACGACCAATTCACCCCTGTCCTTTGAACATGAATAGAAATTTGTCCTTTGTCACAGTATCCTCTTGCATTTTAATGACATTATCAACAGTCAAGATTAGTCCCCCATTTTTGGTCCCTCATTGAGTCCCCTCTATTTAAACCTACCATTAGGCTAGGTAGAAATAGTCAAGTACTCGACGATAAGGTGTTGGTGAGTATTACATCAAAATTTTCGACTGTAAAGTTACGTGTTATTTTTTAGACCCGTTCAGTGTTCCCCTTTTTCATTAAGGATGGTCTGTCCTATTTACAAAATAGTTCCGTGGTATATAAATTTAAATTTCATTGTGATACTGCATGCATAGGACGGACTTGTATCAGTCAACACGTTCCGGCAAGTACAAGAGTAGGTAACTCTAGTCAATCTTCTAGGACAACCCTATCAGTGCATGATTTAGCAATTGGTCAGCACCTTCTAGAAACCCCTGACTGTTCACGTCAATATACAGATGATTGTTTCACTGTCTTACATCGATTCGCTCATCATTTGTAGATCTTAGAAGAAATTAATATTAAAATACACCAACCGAGCTTTTTCATACAAAAAAAAAAATTTACCAATTCACTAATGTTATTTGAAGATTGTGAGTAATACTTTTCCCTTTTATACTCGTAACATTTATTCGTTAATCATTTTTTAACTAATAAATTGTTTTAGTCATGTTCCGAAATTAAGTATTCCCTCCTGTTGTATTATTTAATTGTTGCAAAAGTCTTCGTATGTCTCGTTACAAATCACACTAACGAATCCTTCTGAAGAAGTGTTGGTGGTAAGAGTTCTTAAGGGAAAAATGTCTAAAATTTACATAAAGGCTATATATATATATTAATAAATTGTCGGACTTTGTCCATTTCTTAATATATGACGTCATTTGTTTACATTTGATACGCCATGAGCAGTTATTAATGTACGAGATTATGGAAGATTGAAGTTTATAAGCAGTAAATTCTTTGTGGCCGAGACGGTTGAGGCACGTCATGGAGAAATGATAGTTCCGTATAGGATGCAGGTTCGAATCCTGTCAAAGAACGAATATTTTCTATGAAAATTTCTCGACATTCAGGCCGGTAAATGTTATTTAATACTGTTTATTATAAACAAAGCATTTATTTAAATACTTGTATCTATAATTTATAAAAGAACGTTAAACATAAAATTGTCTTTAATATATATATATATATATATATAAACAAAAGAAATGACCTTCAATTAGGGAGAGTAATAATAAGGAAGAAAAGTTGATAAAGAAATGGAGAAAAAGATAGACAACAATAGAGATGTCATCACTTCTCGTAAACTTTAATTACATTGAAAATCCTTCAACAGATCGTATGTGCCGTGTGTGTTTTGACGTTTCAATCTTCGATACACGATCAACGGAGCGCGGCAAGGATTCAATCCTGAAGGCTCTGGCACTATGAAGAACTTTGGTATTTGTACTGAAGTCGCTCAAGCAAACATTTGTAGATAGATACTAAATTTAATAGATGTATATATAAACAAAAAATGACCTTCTTTCCCAGGTAATAATATTGAAACGTTGATTTGATTGGGGTCTGTAAAATATACCAATAGAGTAATAAGAAATAACACCTACGAAACCTACGCATATATGATGAGACCAATCTGCGCAGACACACACACGCACGCACATCGCACACACACACACACACACACACATATATATATATATATATATATATATGAGATAACGATATATTAATTTGTTATATATCAAGAACAATATTGAGAACCAATGTATGTTCATCGGACCAAACTTGGTTCGACTGCATATGCCCACGAACAAGAGATCATATTTTTTTTATATATATATATTATATATATATATATATATATATATATATAATCAATTTCATTTAGTTTCTTTTGTTTTCCCCATTTGTTATTAGATACACCAGGGCACAAATTTACTGTGGATATATATATATATATATATATATATATATATATATTAGGACCTTGAATAGGTTCTCGCTGGTTTTTCATGAAAAGCAATGTTTGGTCTACAGAAATTAGTAAGAAACTTGTTCCTGAATATATTGTCCATCGCTAGCCACTATCTTTTCCCATCTTTCTGGCTGCATTTGAATTCCACGTCGAAAAAACGACACGTCTTTTGAGGCTAACCACAAGTCGACCCATTATTTAGCATCTTCATATGAATGAAAAGTGCTTCTCAGCTAGGCCATCTGCCATAGATCGGAACAAGTGATAATCGGACGGGCAATGTTTCGTGAATACGGCGCTGGGGTAGGACTTCTCATTTAGGCGATACCAAGTAGATTTTCATCCGTTTTGTAACATGTGGTCTAGAGTTGTCATGTTGCAAAAGCACTTTGTCGTGTATCTGCTCATATAGCGGCCATTATTTCTTCAATGCTCGGCTCAAACGCATCATTTGTAGGCGATAGCGATCTCCCGTGATGGTTTCGATCGGTTTGAACAGCTCATAATAAACTACACCCAGCTGATGAACAGAAGCTTCGAACCATGGATATTCGGCTTTGTTGCATGGCCAGGCTTACCTCACGATCTTCTACGCTTGGAGTTATCGTAGTGTATCCATTTTTCATCGCCGGTCACGATACGATTAAAAAAACCTTTTTTTTCTGTCGTTGAAACAGCTGTTCATACGTGACATGACACCGTTCAACGTCTCTCGGCTTCAACTCTTACGTCATCCAATGTCCTTGCTTTTGAATCATTCTTAATGCTTTCAAACGTTTCAAAACT